TTTCACTTAACAAAAACAAGTATTTATCTATCAAAATATTTTTATAATATAAATGTACATAAATTATAACCATAAATATATACAATACTTAATGTATATCGTTGTTTTATAAATTTATGATTTAATATAGTAATGTGTCTGACATTACCCAAATCACCTAAAAACATATTAAAAATATTAAAAAAAAAACTAATGAGTTAGTTTTTCTTTATATATGTATATATGTATGTATATATATGTAATTTTTTTATTTTTGAGTTCTATGTTTTCAAAAATATAATTTAAGTAATTTCTGTAACTACTGGATATTTTTAGATAGCGCCGCCATATTTAATAATATACCATAACTCTTTACAAAACTAAATTATGTTGCCTACTTAGCCCCTAAATTAAGTTTAATCTATGATACACGTTATTTTTTATTTGTATCATTGTCTCAAAAAATAGGCTTTTGTTTTAGTAAGAATTTTTTGCTGTGTGTGATTTATTTTAAGAAATACTAAATTCGTCATCCTAATCTGTTTTACCCTATATGTTCCAAACTAAAAAATAAAAAATAAAAATTCTGCATTGGAGTGGATATTTGATATAATAAGAATAAAAGCAAAATAATATGATGTAATACTCATATAAAACCTACAAATATTGTAATGATAAAATTATTTGATTATTTCAATTATTATGTTTTACTTTTTTATAGTAATTTGAAAATTTAAATACAATATATTGTTAATATGTAATTTTTTTTCATTAAAGATGAGTTTGAATGATAATGTCAAGTTATACAAAGAATAGTAATATAAAATAAAAATAAATTAAAAAGTTAATATTATATGTTACTTATTATATTAATTTTATTATTACATAGTATTAAACTTTATAATAAGAAATGAGTGTAATTTTAACTTTGAAAAATCATATTTTACATCTATTTAACAAGTTCTCTCTAATAAGCTCTCATACAATATTTTAAATTTTTACTTTGAGAAAAAACTCAATTTTGAAAAATTTTCGAGATTTCCTTAACGAAGTTTGTTAAGATTAAAATCATATATTTTTTAGAAATTATATTCAATCTGGCTGATCTATATTTCAAATTAACACCAATAAAATTATCCATCTATTCATGATTAATAAGTTGTATTTTTATTATTTTTTTTAATATACCATTAAGATTTGAAGATAACCATACTTAATTTTTTTTTTAATCAAGAAAATAAACAAAATTGTTTACGAACGTGGGTTGTCTCTTTCATACCTTGTCTGTGCTTTGTTTTTTTAATGAAATTTCATAAAAATAAGGAAAGCTTAGTGTCTCTAGTATTCCTTAAAAATTTTAATTGGGATGGGAGTTTTTAAAAATAAGTTATTAGTGTTATAAAATGCAGAAAAAAATGTTTGAAAAAGTGTGGGATACCAAAAAAATGGGTTTAGTCGGAATAAAAGAACAAAGGAAGCAATCCTTATCTTAGACTTATAATAGAAAAAAATTGTCAGAACTTGTAAATCTATATGCATAGTTTTTGTGGACCTAGAAAAGACTTTTGACAATGTAAGATTGGATAAGCTTTTCCACGTAATGAAGAAGATATGCTTAAGATATACGATTGAAGAATATTAGATAAGTTAATGATAAGGCTGTAATTAAACATGAAATAAGGCATGTGTGGATACCGAAATATGGAAAAGCGTGAGACGAGGGTGCAATGTACTATTTATTATCGTCTACTTTATTTCATTGAAGAATCACTAAAAGAGTTAAAATATGAAAATATAAGCACAATAAAAATTAAAAATTAGAACGAGATATACTGTAAGAACAAATGCTATGTTTTGTAGACGACATTGCAATGATAGCGAAAAAAATTTAGAGAGGATGATACTTAATTTGGACAAAACACTGAAACAGGATTATAACATAAAAATTTAAATGGCCAAGATTAGGATTCTAATTTGTAGCAGATAACAATTTGACACTAATATTATAATAAACTAGCAAAAGTGAAAATCAAATGTAGAAAAAAATGTTTGAAAATGTCATTTTTACGGTTGCATAAATTTTATTTATTTTTCTAAATGTCCTAATATGAGGAAGTTTTTTTTCTTCAAATTTCTGTGACTATAAGTTCAACTAGTTAAAATGGGGTTCTTTCGACGTATTAATCATTAAAATCGGTTCAGTGAAAGATGAGAAATAAATGGATAGACATTTAAAAAAAGACAGACCATCACATAACCAATACTTCCTCAGATTCGCATTGAATCTAATAATAAAATTTTAATGTAACATTATATATATTTTTTTGTAAAATAAAGTTTTTAGAAGGAATTTGATTGGGTTTGTTAGTTTATATTGGATTTAGTCCGGTTTGGGTGTATTTTATGAAGGTTCAGAGGAGTTTAATGTTCTTAAAATATGCGAGTATCTCCCATTTTTGTTTCATTGTAAATATTCTTAAAATTTTCAAAAGTAAAAGTTTTTAATTTTCATCGAGTGAATAATAACAGTATTTTTCATAAACTTATAAGTTAAAATAGTCTATTATTGATGTGTAGTTCACATAGCTTTTAGTTTATGATCGTTAACATTATTAATTTTGAACTGCCGTATGATTAAGTGCTAAGAAAAAAATCTTATGTATGTAACATTGTATATATATATATATATTATATGCAACGATCACGTTTCGCTACTCACACCATTAGTTTTTTTAACGTGACCCATTCATTTAACTGTTATTTGGTATGCGTAGAATAATATTATCATGGAAAAATACTTTAAGCATTATGCAAAATAATTGAGGCAATTATGTTTATTTCTACAATGTTTCAATTCTTTTTATGCAAAAAAAAAAAATAGCTATTAAAATCTATTGTTATAATCTTAATATAATTAATGTGTTTATATATAAAAGAAATATTATAAAATGATTTTAAAGGTACCAAATACCATATAATATTAAGTAATTTAGGCAAGACACAGAGATTTTATACTTTCACCGCTTCATCAAATGGTAAAAATCGATTTATCGAAAAGTTATAAAAGTTTAAAATTTAATATCGAACATTAGTGCGCCAGATTTTTTTTAACAACCCCAATTAAGGGATGCCTACCGAAATATTCTTGTCGTTTCGTCTGCACAATTTGGTATTGCCCAAGTACCGAATAAATCTAGTTAAAGATATGTTTTTTCCAAGTAGAATAATATTATGTTATACCAGAAAATTGTTTAAAAATAAAAGTATGAATTTAAATATATAAATACTGGTGGAACAAATAAAATTCTAATCTAATTTAATTTCGACATTTAAAAAAAAAAAAAATTAGATAGGTCAATAACAATTTTAGGATAAGTAATAATTGAATTACAAACATTATAATGTATAACGTGGGTGGAATATACGTGTACTAGTATGGTCTGAACCCAACCGCACTATATACTCACTCTATGTATTAAAATGCTTGCAACAATATGAATAGTTGTCTTGAAATTTTTATCAAGCCATCACAATTATTTTATAAGAAAAAGGATAAAGAATAGATATAACAATATTTAAAATATACGTATATATAATTAAAATTTTTTTACTTTTGGTAATCAGTGGTGCAAAATATACTTTGAACGTAGTTTAAAAAGGCAATATCTTTATTAGTTTATAATTATTGATTATACAAAAAAAAAAAAATTCAATGAAACCTTTGAATCAAAAGTTATTGGATTTGTCATATTTTTGTGATTCATCCTTGAATAATAAACTTTAAAACTAGTTATAAGTGTTAGTATTTTTTGTTGATTCAGTGCTGTTAGATAATAATATATATTGATATTGATATAAATAAATATATCCGAATTCTTGAATTTTGTATCTATTTTGATGACTAATATATAAAAATAGTTCACATTGTAAAAGTGATTTTTGTATTGTAAATATTAAGTATAAAGTATAAGTTTGGCTGTGAAAACATTTTTGGAATTTCTGAATACAGAGGGGTCTGCGAAAAAAGAAGAATGTTGGCAAGGCGCGGGAGTATTTTAAGGTCAGGTTCAACATCCGATTCATAATGAATACCTACCTCATTGACCTCAAACAATATTCCGGGTTACGCTTACTATATAAGTATGACGTGTACTTATGTACGATCACTTCAATTTTATCATGCCCAAAATAAACAAATATTTTTATTAATAATTATTTTTGTATAATACTAGTTTCTTGCTTAAATTATTATTTTTAATTTAAATAAACCATTTAGCATAATGTTTCTGTTAAATATTGATATAAAATAATTCTTAATATTTCGAAAATAAAATAAAATCTATACATAAACTATTAATTTCTTGTCAATATAATTACCTACTAATTTTACTGTTTTATCGCCTATGATGTTTTGATATCTATAATTACATATGAAACGTTAGAGTATAACAGAAAACTGAAGATGTTTTAAATAATGATATTTATAATACTAATAGCTTTGTTCTATTTTGATTTTGCACAATATCTAACAAATTGATAATAGTGTAAAAATAAATAGCAATCATATTTTTATTACTTTTTACCTAGAAATTATAATCTGTACACGGCTTCCTTTAAATTTTTAAATTAATAATAAATCAGAGCATATATTTAAAAAACATACAAATTACTTGTTCGTATTTTCACATGTCTATGATGCAATATATATTCTCATAATAAACTCACCCTATTGAAAAATAACAATAAAAATAATAATAATAAATTACATACGTTTATTTTTTGCCTATTATGTCTTAAATATAACTACAAGTCAGTTATTACAAAAATAGAGTCGAACAACTTTGCGTGACTAATTATTGTATTATAATAACGGTTAATTTTTTTTTTTTTTGTAAATATAGATCTAATAAATGATAATTATATACTCATCTGAAATACGGTGTTTTAAAAATCTAGTGTTATAAAACAATTTAAATAGATTTTTTCACTTTTAGCACTTGGAGCTGTCAAAAAATTAAATCAAATCAAATTTGGAATTACCGGGAATGATACTACTTGTGTTCAAAAAAAAAAAAAATACCTACCAGAATAATAATTGAATTAATTAAATATAACAATAATAAAGAAGAATTATATCATAAATATCACGAATCGTTCAATATCTAAAACGCTTTTTAAAATTCAAAATGTAAGTAAATAATCTTAATTTTATCAAATTTTTTCAGTTCTAAAAAACAACATTAAGACTACAACTCAAAATTTAGTGTAAAATAAACATTGAATGGCTGATTAATTGAAAATAATATTATTTAATCAAATCGTTTCATGATTAAAAATTAATACTTATTTCTTTTAGCTTCGATGCGAAGCTGAGAAGATATTGGTTTTACTAAGATGTGTTTTTTTTTTTTTTTTTTTTTTTTTTTTTTTTTTTTTTTTTTTTTTTTTTTTTTTTTTTT